GAGAATTTAGCAAATGTTCTTTCTGATAGCTGTCATCTTTACAGCTGTGTTAAGTCAGATAGCTGTCGGTTCTTACAGCATCAGAGAGAACAGGTCTTTGTATTCATTGTCAGCCTGTGAAGGAGACTTCCTGAAGTGGGATTGGAATCCTGTAGCAGCTGTAATCAGGTCTTGGAGCTACAGGCAGGTATTCTACTTGTCATAAGCAACAGCAGCAGTAATAATGCCTCCTCCAGTGCATACTGCATGAGGTTCTAAACACTTTGAATTTTTTTAACTAAAAATTTTTGTTTTATTTTATGTGTATGAGTGTTTTGCCCGCATGTAAGTGTATCACTTGATGCATTGCCTGCAGAGGCCAGAAGAGGGTGTCAGATCCCCCGACACTGGAGTTATGGACTGTTGTTAGCCACCACATGGGTGCTGGGAATCGAATCCAGGTCCTCTGCAAGAGCAGTCAGTGCTCTTTACCACTGAGCCATCTCTCCAGTACCTAACTTTCTTTCTTTCTTTCTCTCTCTCTCTTTCTTTCTTTCTCTCTCTCTCTCTCCCCCACTGCCTCTCTCTTCCTCCCTCCCTCCTTCTCCCTCTCTCTCATCTTTCTTTCTCACCCTGTACTTGTTCTCTCTTCACGCTTAATGAAGTAGTCTCCAGGTTTTAAAGGGAAGCCTCTCATTCTCTTTAAGGCCCTTGCCACATTTTTTTCTACCATATATAACACCATCTTATGTGTACATGCTCTTTCTTCCATCTTGGAGCTCTCTCCCCCACTGCCTCTCTCTTCCTCCCTCCCTCCTTCTCCCTCTCTCTCATCTTTCTTTCTCACCCTGTACTTGTTCTCTCTTCACGCTTAATGAAGTAGTCTCCAGGTTTTAAAGGGAAGCCTCTCATTCTCTTTAAGGCCCTTGCCACATTTTTTTCTACCATATATAACACCATCTTATGTGTACATGCTCTTTCTTCCATCTTGGAGCCTTATCATGATCTTGAGGCCCAGGGCAACCAATTCCTGAAGTCTCATCTTCCTTTCCTAGACCATTTTCTTTTATTATTATATTTATTATTATTTTTAACAAGTATTCTACCAACTCTTTGTAAGTCTATTGAGGTATGTTTTCATTGTTCTAGCAAGTAGTTTATAAATTTCTTTGTTTTAAATTATTCTTTATTAGGGGGAGTTAAAGTTAGTCAGAGGTGAGGGAATAAAGTTTTCTCAAGTCTTTCTTGGGTATATACATCATCATGTATATACGTATGGCATGTGAGAGCTTTCACACACCCTATGAATACTTTACAAATGTAGCTGTTGGTTTTCTGATAGCTTCTTTTCGACTTTAAAAGATACGCTACCTCAAGATCTTGTGATAGTCAATAATTGCCTCCTCTTGTGGGAACAAGATTGTTCTTACAGAGCATACTCTGAATCATATCAAATAAAAATATATTCCTAAATGCTCTTCAGCCAGTTGCCAAGCAGAATCCATACTATAATTCTTTGGAGCTGAGACCTCTGGAGTTTCCTAAACATGTTTCTCTCCTCACTGGTTGCTAAGGCTAATGGTTGCCACAGCTACCAGAGTTTCAAGGCTGTTATTTTTCAAGAACACAAAATTGAGTGTAGGAGAATGGCACTATAGGAAGTAAAATACCAGAAAGATCTTTCTTAGCTTTCAGAGATTCAGCAGTATTTTAGTTTGAATTTTTGTAAAGGTTTACATAATTTTTAAGTATCTGGAAAAGTTGATTTTGAAAGATTTTTGTCATATATTTTTGTCAGAAAGTGGAGTTATAGATTCTTAATCTACACTTTCAAGGTACCATAGTACTATGCTTCTTAATTTTCTTACATTTCCTATATGAGTGTCATAGATATTTGTCATTGCTGTTGCTTAAATGTGCTTATATACCCCCATGGTGAAATTGTATTACTTGAAATTCAGATAACCTATGTTTTAAGAATTGCTTTTTCCTCCTGTCAATAGAATACTGATGACTTTTGCTCGTTTCTTTCTTTTTTTAGAATGTGATATGCTCGTTTACTCCACATCAAATTGGCGTATTTAACGTGAAGCAGGTGATAGAGATTATTGGCCCAGTGGTAGACGAATCTTTACAGTCTTTGTCGATGAAACCTTTTCATTACATACATCTAGAATTCCACAGCACTTGCAAAGCTTACACTAAGAAAGTTGAGATGAAAATTAATCCTGGTATGCTATTTTATGAATTCTCTACAGTTCTGATGTAGTCGTTAATGCAAGATTATCTCTATCTATCTATCTATCTATCTATCTATCTATCTATCATCTATTTGTCTATCTATCAATCATGTGCCTGTCTGTCTGTCTGTTTATCTATCATCTATCTGATAAATACAGTGGTCTTCACTATTTAGCATACATCAAAGTCATCCGGGAGTTCTGTTCAAATACATATCACTGGCTTATATTCGAGCATTATTATGTAGATATGTGTTGGTACTGAAGATTTGCATTTCTTTCATGTTCCTAGTAGACACTGTTGCTATTTAGAGGATCACACTTTTGGATTAGTGAATGATACAGATTTTCAAATACTTTTAACGGTTGCTATGTTGTATTCTTTTTATATTTTTTGCTACAGTTTAGTACAGTTTTGACTATCTCCAAATTTTCTTGTTGCTACAGTTTCATCCAATCATATATAATCTTTTATAAACTGAACCATGTGAAATCACTGGTATACAGTTTTTTGTAACTTGAGTTTTCATTTTCATATGAATCAACTTAAATCTTTGAAATTATCATGTTCACTTTTATACAGCTTTTATTATTATTTAAGTGCTATTTTGCCAAATTGATTTGTGGAGGCCCATGTTAGTATCAAGTCATTTGTAGCTTCTCAATGTGTTTGAGAATTTAACATTTAAGTTAAAACTTAGTGTATTAATTAATTCATGGCTAGGTTTTGGAAACGCACCATTCAAAGTATTAAATATAAACCTATTATTCAATTCTATGAAAGGTATATGCCCCTTGATTACTAATCCCACAAAACAATTCGTGATCAAAGATTCAGCAAAAAAGGAGGATCTTCCACCTGTGGCAGCAATGCTCCAGTCAGCCATGACAAGTCTTCATAATCATCGCTCAAACGATGAGTCAATGAAGGATGCACGGATAGCCTTTCCTAATGACCGTGCTGCAAGCATCAGGTGTGGAGAGCATCAAGAAAATTTCAGGTAACATTAATATGAAAAATTTAAAAATTGAAAGACATATTTCAGAGGTCTGTCAAGATCCCAATGTTAAAAAAGAAACATAGAATAATAAGAAAAATGAAATTTTGTCTTCACCTTTTATTATATGGAATACAATAGGTGTTGAATGACACTGAATTTCTCTTATCTTTTTATCAACTCTGTTATGCACTTGTGAGAAAGCCAATTATACACAAAATGATTTTTAAAATATATTACTGATATGTGTAGATAAGTGATAGAAATAATCACTATTGGAAGTGGACTAAGACCTCAGACTATTCAAATTTATCCACTATGGTTGTGAGCTTGAATTTATTTGACTAAAGCAAACTGTGGGAAACCAATTATTGTACTTATTGTCATCCTTGTTTTAGCCCGTCATAGACGCATTTCCACTAACTTTCTCCCAATTGGTCCAAAATTTCTTAGTTAGGTTAATGAGGAGTGTTTAAACTTTAAGGACTGGAGAGATTGCTCAGTGGTGAAAGGCACTTGCTGTGCTTGCAAGGGACCCAGATTCAGTTTCCAGCTCCTGCTCTTGGCTACGAACCATCTGTAACTCCATTTCTAGCAATCTGACACCCTCTTCTGGCCTCCGTGGGCAACTGACTCACAGGTGGTGCATGTACATACATATAAGTGAAATAATAAAATACATAAAACAAATCTTTAAATTTCAATTTAATTTTATCAAATCTTCAAAGAAATTGCTACATTTCCAATGGTAAATTTGAAGTGACCAACTCCTCCTATTAACATGGTTTTCTGGGCCTGCCCTGATCCCAGAAAGATTTTTAATATATTTGACACTAAAAAAGACTTATCTTCTGCCAACATGTATGCTGTTAAGAGGCCATGTAAACTTAGTATTGAGCCTCTTTTTTCTCCACTTTCTCTTGACCTTAGTGGAGTTATTTTGATCACTTAATTTTACATCTACTTTCTTACAGTAGCATTTATTTTTTAGCCCACATTTTTACTATCTACAATGGAAAAATTCTGTGATAGTCTTCTGACTGTCTTAGTATTTTTAATCTATACATTCAACCTATATCTGCTTTTTTCTTTTTATTTTATTTGACCAGTACTATAAGTCACAAAGCTATCAAAACCACTCTGATAACATTTAAAATAATTATATATTATAAAAAAGTAATTGTTTCTTTCTGGTTCATTTCATCCCCTCTATTCCCTGAATTGATGGCTTCTGGAAACCTTTTCATCTCTTTCATAATCTGTCATGGTTAACTAGAGTTAGAATGTTTTAATTTAATTTTAACAGCTTGATTCTAAGTCTCTGTGAATTAGATCATAACATTTGCCAAAATTAAAGAAAAGCAATTAAACTTAATAGTTCCAATTTATTCTATAGCCATATTTATTTCTCTCAATGAAAACTTTTTTCACAATAATAGAAAATTTTAGTCTAGTTACTTTCTGGTTATCAATTAAGTTAAAAAAATCAAGGATAGAAAATTATTCCACTGTATTCATTTTCTGGCTAGTAATTACAATTGCTGTTTTACTCTTGTGTATTTTTCCCTTATAACATTTTGGAAGACAATAAGATATTTTCTTCATAGCAGTGTCCTTGTGCTTAAGAAATTATCAGGTACAGACCTAACTGTTTTGTTCACTTTTCCTGGGGAGACTTGAACAAGTATCTATGTATATTGGATAGGGCAACAGATAAAATGATTCCACCTAAGTCTTAAGTTTTTAATCAATGAGTTTTTAGACTTATTTATAGAGTGCAGGTGAGGGTTTAATTTTAAGAGTGCAGATAATCCCCAAACAGCTACATCACCATTATCTTCCCTCCATTATGGATGACTGACAAAATGGAAGGTACATCACTGAGTCCCCCTTTCATTAGTCTTCACTAGCAATTCCCAAGATCACCTATAGCTGGAGGAAGACAGGGGTGTGTAAAGGCTATGATCTTAAGGAAGCATTTCTTGGTCCCTCCCTTATTCTTTCTACTAGAGAGGGTCAACACATTATTACTATGACTATAAATCTAGCTATCACTGTATAGATCTAGTTATCACTGCTCAATTAGTTACCATGGCTACCAGGACAAGGTAATTTCGACTCAAAAATGGTTATGGGAAGATCATGCTATGCATGGCAGAAAATAGCTGTACCACATACAGCACTTACCTTCACTATGCTCTTCTGAATAAATAAATCAGAAAACCAATTAATTTACATATTAATTTTTCCCCTGTACACTGCACATCGAAAAAAATAGTACTTCAAGCTACAGAGATAATTCTAGATGCTTATTGTTTAAGGATCTGATAGGATTCGAATCTATTAATATCATTTGTCACTTACCTTATTTACTCCTTTACTGTTTCCAGTTGTTACAGTCTAGGGGTCTTGATCAGGTTTGATTTCTCAGTCAAAGAGTTAAAAGGCAGGAAGTACAGACACAGCAACGAACAAACCATTAAAAGTAAAGTGGCACAAACACATACACATTCTCACACAGAGAGAACAGCTCTCCATAAATGGGGAGGGGATTTGCAAACAGAAAAATCTAAAGCCCCTAGGGGATCCTGGTGTTTTAAGCATCCTTGGTGGTGTCCACGAAAAGCACAACTTTCATCATAAAGGGGATAAAAGATTTTTTTTTCTGGAGTCAAATGTGAGTGACCATGGTAACATGACCCAGGAACATAGATTCAAGTTACCTCAAATTCCATGTTCCAGCGTGGTAACGGTTTCATTACGTGTTTAAGGTAAAAGTACGAAGCAAAGTCATAAATCAAGACTTCAAATACATTGGTGGATAAATTCAGTAGACAGGTCGGGGTGAGCGACAGGACTGGAGGGGTTCTGCTATAGGTCTCAGATGATATCTTATGACATTTGTAACTTTGAATTGGTGGGACCTAGTTAATACATTCCGAAAGGTTTTTATCTTATAGTCTGGGGATGTTAGGTCAGAAATAGAGATGGGCAAATAAATGGCTATTTAGGGGCTAAAGGTAGCCTGAGATAAGTGGTAATTAGGCTCCTGACTTGTAACATTTGAAACTCCCCAGGATCAGCTGTTTAGCCTTTCAGGAAATTCAGTCCAATATGCACGATTTTCAGGCAACTTTTTCCTTCACAGTGGTATAGGGCTGGTACCATCCTCCCTTCATTTTGGATTAGACCAATTTAACTATGTGAGAGCTGATAGGCCACAGTTCCAAGATAAGAAACAGCCAGGGCAGACCTTGGCTAAACTGGTTGGGACCTGTCAGCTGGAGGAGGGGCCCTGATGACTGGAGGTAAAAAACCTTCAGGTCTTTGTATCAAGTGAAGAAGTGAGAAGTTTGCCATCTTTGTTACTTATCAGAGGGCCCTGTCTGATTGTCAGGGATTTTATATCTTGCCATGGAGTTTCTTTTCAACTTTTTGTTTATCTTAGGATTTTACATATAGGAATTATTTTCAGGTTCTAAGTAAAAATTTAAAGAACTGTCTTTTGAGCAGCTAAAAATTTTCCCTCTTTCTATATTACTCTGTTAAAACTTAAACTCATTTAACATTCATGTCATACAAACATTGAGGACTTGTGGAAAACAAGAACTCAAAACAATCTTTGATGAATTTTTACTTCCATGCACGTATATGAATTATTGCAAGGAGACTGTTACTGCTTGATGAAATTTGTGAAAGATTGAGGGAGATGAGGGTCAGAAGGTATGAAAAATTGTCGTCTTTCGATGATTAGGAATATGAATTTGTTAAAAAGGAAAACATGAAGCCAATTGAGTAAACATATCACATAAATTAATATTCAGGCTTCTTATGAATTGGTTTCTTTGTATCAATTTATTGCTGATAGATATCTCATGAGCCCTACAGTTTGAGGAAGCAGGTGTTAGAACAGTAGGTTTCTAGAAAGAAGCTGACATGAAACTTTGCAGCTGAATGAGGGAGGCTGCTAGGTACAGCACAGCATGTTTCTTATCAGCTCTTTGTCCTATACAGAGAGAGAAGCAGGGGGATGTAGCCTTGTTTCTATGACAAGGACAGAGGCAGCTAAAATGTAGTAATCTATTAGTTCTATAACAAAATGATTCACTGTTTTCTATTTTTTTTCAAATTTTGTTTGTAATGAACTAAAAGCAATAATTTTTCCAGGAAACACTGATCAGTTTCAGATGTAATTTCTTGAAGTCTGATCTTCAATCTAGAACCTTCTAAGTTGCTTACTTCAATAACTTCCTGAAGAAGGGTTTATGCTAGTTATAGCCTTATATCCCAATAGCCTTAAGAAGAATTTTATTTTCTTATTTTTGCTAAGGGGAAAAATTAGGCCTCAGTGAAGTTTGACTGCAGTGTCTTTGCATATAATATGGTATGCAGAAAACGATTAGAGTCTGTCCTGCTCACCAGTCACTTGACGTTGAAGTTGATTATTAGTCACTCCACATTTATTGATTGAACAGATGAATGAGTTTGTGTGTGTGTGTGTGTGTGTATACACGTGTATGTATTTTAACATGAGTTGCTCATCTTGTAGAACAATTTTTACAAAGATTCCAAGATACAACTATATTGATCCTGATTTTCAATATAATGAATTAGAAAGACTGGAAAAAAGAGTTCATCAAGAGTACTACTCAGAGTACATTAAACATTTACGAAGTTTGCGCCTACAGAAAGAAGCACAGAGGTAAAGATTAGTTCCTCAACGTGCCTAAAGACAAGATTCATTTTTCTTAAAATAGTTACTTGAATTGCACAGTTTTATGATATGCAGGTTAACAATTTGATACATATGTACAATGTATAATGATAAAATCAGAGAATATAACATTGTCATCTTCAAAATTTTTGTAACTTTTGATCAATGTAATAACTGAGCATAGTTTTGATGTACTGTGGGATATTACAGGACATATATACACTGTCTTTGGATCAAGTCAGGATCAAAGGTTTCCTTAATATATGTATCAATATATTATATCAATATATATCATCTTTGTTTTCGGATGCCAGAGTTCTTCCACACTGTCTCCATGGTGGCTGTACATTGCCAACAACAAAGCACTTGAATTTGCTTTTCTCCACATTATTTTCAGCATTTGTTATTATTTTGTCTTTTAAATAATAACCACTCGAAATGACATGAGATATGTCAATGTCATTTTGATTATTGTTTCTGACGGCTAAAGAGATAGAACATTTATAACATACATTTGTTGGCTATTCAAATTTCTTTGAGAAATACTCATTCATCTCATTTGTTCACTTTAATTAGATTATTGGGATGCTGCTATTAAGCTTTTGTTTAGTTATATATATTCACGTATATGCAGGTATATTCTAGATAAATCATTTTTCAGATAAATAGTTTGCATATTTTCACTTTTGATTGCTTTGCAGTAGCTTCTGTGCTTTGGCTGTTATTCAAAAAAAGTCATTGATTATAACAGTGTTTTTGTCTATGTGTTTGTCTAATAGTTTCATAGTTTCAGGTCTTATTTTAAATCCTTAATCAATTGTATGCTGATATTTGTATAGATTGTTATGGTTCAAATTTAAATCTTCTGCATGTAAATATCAGATTGTTTTCTTTAGCCTTTAGATTGTTTTTCATAATTGAGGTACTTTAGAAGCATTTTAATATATATTAGGAGCAAAACATTCAACTACTTTACAGGGATTCTAGTGCATGTATTTCATGACAAGAGTATTCTCAGGATAAACCCATAGAGGATGGAGGAGTAAAAATAGAACAAGGAAGGAGGGATGCAGTTCAAAAAAGTTTTTCCACAGCCAGATGGCCAGAAGCTTTTGATCATAAATGATATCAAATTGTTGTCCCAACCTTGAGCTAAAAACTTTTAACTCCAAACCACTCAGTGACTGTAGACCATTCTTGAGTGTGACAAAGAAATAAGTGTGGCTATAACATTAGCTGTGAGGTATTTAAGAAAAGAAGAGACCATTCAGTGAAGGAAAACTTGCTGTACATTAGAGTACTAACTTAAGTAGATACGAATAAGGCTTCAGTAGCATTGCTCATGGGGAATATTTATACTTATTACTGTATTTCATAAACAGCTTTGTCTCAATGGCTTATTGTTCTTGTAATTTCTATAGGAACCGCAAGATTCCACATTGTGATGCAGACATAGGCATGGAGCCAGGATCTGGTATGAGGTCACCATTCCTGGCACAATCAGAAGTAGAAGAAGAGGTGCCTTCATCTTCGAAGGAGTGTTTGTCCGAAGCTAAAAGATTACTAACTACAAAGCAAATCAAATCTAAGGAGGCAGAATCACTCCAGAGAAAGGCATGTGCAATACTTTAATTTTTGTTATATCATGAGAGTTCTAAAAATGGCTGTTATTAATAATGATTAATTTTGGAAAAACAGATCATCAAACTTAAATCGAAGCCAACCACTCACCATGAAAAACATGACTGCAGCATAATTTTGACTCCAAAGCAAATTCATCAAGTAATAGTTGGTAAGAATATACAGAAGTCTGTAGTTTTGTATTTAATGTATCTGTTAAAGATAATTTATATTCCATGAAACTCAGTAGTTTAAGTATATAAGTAAATGAATGGTAGTAAATCTACACTTATGTACCTACCACTCCAATTCAGGTTTAGAATGCTACCATCATGCTGTTGTCTGTGTGCATTCACTCCCTATTTCTACCTTCAACCCCAAATAATTATTAATTCACTATCTCAATAGAGTTGCCTATTCTGAGAATTTCATCTAAATGGAACCATACAGTATATAATTTATCACATCTGTTCTTTTTACTCACCATAATGTTTTTGAGGCCCATCCATATGATAATACTTGCCAAAATCAGGTTCCTTTTATATCTTAATTTAACATCCTATTTATGATCATAACACATAGTGTTTATTCATTCACCAGTTGCTGGAAATTGAAGCTATTATAAATTATGATGTTGTAAATATTCACATAAAATTCCTTGCATGAACATATCTACTCATTTCTTCTGGTTAGATTTTTGAGAGTAGAATTCCTAGGTTTTATGGCAAATTTATTTATATCTTTTAGAAAATTCCATAATGTTTTTAAAAGTGAGTACATCAATTTACAGTGTTATTAATAATGTGCAATGATTTCAATTTATTCACATTCTCGCCGACACTGTATTTTCTGTCACTTTGATTATAACCATTTTTGTGGGTGTGAGATGTTAAACATTGTGTATTTTATTTTCACAGAGATTATGATGAAATATTTTCATGTGCTTACCTATACAAATTTCTATTTAAATATTTATTTATTATTCTTATTTTATGGGATGAATGTATTGTCTGAATGTAACTGCATCCATGTTATGAATTTCCCATGGAGGTCAGAAGAGGGCATCAGATTCCCATGGAACTGAAGTTACAGATGGTGGTGAACTGTCATGTGAATGCAGGGAACTGAACCCAGGCCCTCTGCAAGGGCAATCAGTGCTCTTAACCACTGAGCCGTGTCTCCAACACCAGAAATTCTATTTAAATCATTAATTAACAGAAAAAAATTTCAATTCCTTTATTTAATTTTGAATTTCATTATGTGCTCTCATTATTAGATTGTGAAAACTGTTTATACAGTCCAGATATTTTTTCTAATGTTTCAGTTTGATATTTTTAATTATTTCATTGCCTAATTGGGATTGTGTGTAGAGTTCAGTTCAGGTCAAGCATTATTTACTCACTGTTTTGTGCCAGAAATGTGAAAGCAGTTGGACTTCAAAGTTATAAGAATTTACTCTTCACTACCAAATGGAAAATATTCTTGTCTTCACAAATTAGTCACTGATTGAACAGATAAGTAGATCTATACCAATTCAAAAGAAGCCAAGTTAGAAAACTATGTTCATTTTCTCTTCTACAGCTTTTATATCAAGTATCTTTATTTTTTCAAAAAAATGATTTATTTTTATTTTATGTGTATGAGTGTTTTGCCTGCATGTATGTAAGTGCATCCACGTCATGCAATGCCTGTGGAGGCCAGAAGAGGGCATCAGATCCCCTGGAACCAGAGTTACAAATGCTTGTTATCTGCCATGTGGATACTGGGAATCACACCCAGGTACTGTGCAAGAGCAGCAAGTGCTCTTAATGGCTGAGCCATCACTCCAGCTCCTCAGTACTATTCTTTAATTGGTGTCCTGAGAATCTTCATAGTGTCACTCTAGGGACAAAGAGTTTTAGCATTTGCTAGGCCAGCTATTCTAGCAGTGAGAATTTTGTGTCATTTAGAAAATGGCTGTTGTTTATTAACTGATTGAGTCACTCTTTTTTTTTATACACTGTCGGTGTTTTTCAACATGTTCTAGCACAACCAAAGGAAATGGCAGTTTCAGAAAATCAAGTGACTCCATAATTATTTTTCCAAATTAAACTAATTGTAAAAATACACAGTAGAAGAGTTAGAGATTAATTGAATCAATTAGGATTAAATATAGGATTTCAAGTTATTTTGAATGTTGTACAAAAATACTCTTGACTTCATCTGTTTATATATTGTCATTTTCCATTTTAAGTGACCATTTATTGATGTGCCTTAGTGGGAGACACTATACTGAACAATTTTCCAACATGGCTCATTTAATCTTTAAATGACATGAATAATTCTGATGTAACTGGATTTATTGACATTTTAGTAATGGATAAAGTCAAACCCAATAAACAAAAAACTCAAAATATTGAAATATTAACTGGGAGAGAACATACAATTAGATTTCTCTGAAAATACATTCTGTGTTGATTCCTTATCATATTTCTCTCTCTTTAAAAATTGTATTTATTTATTATTTTAATTTTATCTGTATTTGTATATTGCCTTCATGTGTGTAAATGTACCAGTGTCATGCAATGCCCACTGACGTCAGAAGAGGGTGTTGGAATGCCTTGAACTGGAGTTAGGGATGGTTGGATGGTCGTTAGCCACCATGTTGGTGCTGTGAATTGAACCCGGGTCCTCTGCAAGAGCAACCAGTGCTCTTAACAGTTGAGCCATCTCTCCAGCCCCATATTTCTCTTCTACAACTCACATTTTTCCTCTAACATCTTCCTTATCTTTTACCTCTCCTAGAGATTAAATAATAATATGTTGTTTCTCCTGCTTTTGCAAAGTATATTAACCTGAATTATGGCATTTTCCTATATTATTTAGTTTCCTTTGTTTTGGCCTCATAAAACTACAGCAGTTGGGAAGTTGTGATTTTTTTTTAATTTTTAGAAAAACTTTATTGAGAATTTCATACATGTGCATAAGGTGTTTTGATCAAATCCATGCCCACTCCCTCCCCTCCAACATTCCCCCCTCTGAAGAGGTGTTTTAATAGTCAACTTGACACAGCCGAGAATCATCTGGCAATCTCAATGAGGGAGTTTCTAAATCCAATTGGTCTCTGTTCAAATCTGTGGGACATTCTCTTGATTGCTTTAATAATGTGGGAAGATCCAGCCTGAAAGTGGGTGGCACCATTACCTGCTTTGGGCTCTAGACTTCAAAAGAGTAGAAAAAGCAAGCTCAGCTCTGAACATGTATGCGATTATCTCTAATATTGACTATGGTTTTGATGTGACTAACTGCTTTACGTTTCTGTGTCCTTGACTTCCCATAATGATAGAATGTAACCTGGAATTGTAAATCAAATAACCCTTTCTCCCTTGATTTTGTTTCGGTATTTTCTTTTTTTAAAAATAAACAATTTATTGAGACCTTCCAACATGCATATAAGGTACTTTGATCAAATCCACTACTGCTCCTTCCACTCTAACTCCTCCCATATCTTCCCATCACTTTTTTCTGATAATTTCGTATACTATTTCTTCTTCTTTGATATATTTATTTATTTTTATGGGGCTTTTGTCTACTCTGACATTGCCCCCTCTGAAGAGGGAATGTTAAAATATTTTTTGTTTTTTATTGTTTTAATTATTTATTTAATAACCACATACTTAGGAAAAGCATTTCATTACAACAGCACTGACATATTCAATAACAATTTCCTGAGCTAAGATGCATCTCTTTCAAAACTGGCTGTAAATTTTTGGGTTTACAACTGAATTATTACAATTATACAATATTTTACTCAGTGTAAACCCTATAAGACTTAAAATTAAATGAGGTTTTAACATTTAAAAAAGATCTCCATTTCATTATTAAAATACACAGTTTAATACAGAAAAATTCATTTTTAATTCAATTGACATTAAGATGTTTGCACATGCATATCTAATCTCTATATATCTGATTATTACTAGTCACAGTCAATTACTTTCTGAGCTCCTTCGCATCTAAGCATAGATATAAAGTCATCAGGTAGATTTGAATGGTAATGTTTTTCACATCTACTAATTATTAAGGAGCAAATTTTTATGCTTTGAAAAATTATTTTTTAATCATTATTTTTTTTTTAAGGATTAGATACAAGGTCCCAAATACTTCCGACATTTTTGTCCTTTGGAACAGAGTATGTTGCTAAGAGGCCCAAGGACATTTTGACTTTTAGCCAAGAAACTGGCTACTTTTCTTTGGGGGTCTTTTTACCATAACTGCCTAGCCATTTCCTACCTCCATTCTTATGACACCATCTTCTGAAAAAGTTACCCAAATTGCCAATAGGGAATAGGGACGCAGACCGCTCTGGCTTCTTCCATGCTGAACAGGAAGGGACACAGGGTGAGGCAATTGGAGCACCCCTTCAGTGGGTCTATCTACAAGACTCCCAACTTGCATAACTCTTACCTGTAAGGGGAAAAGAAAGTCCTTAAATCATGGCTAGGAGATGTGAAGTAGAAGTAAAGACAAGAGTAATTACTATTACAAGTTCTAGCCTGAGAACTAGAAAAAAAGTCAGAACAGGGCAATTTTCAAATGTTCATATAAGTCCATTGGACTTTCTTGACAAAGGCTTCCAAAAGCATCCCTCTATTGGGTTCCTTCTCATTTTTCTTTTGTCTTCCAAGGCTGGACTCTAGAGGGATGGATTCAGGATTTGCTTTCAGGTATTTTGATAGCTGCTAGAGTGGTTAGAATCAGTGTCAGTTCCCTCTCAAAGGCTTCTAGATAGGGGGAGAAAACAAATTTATCTATTATTTTAGAACAATAGGTGGTTGCCTCCCTTAACTACAGGTGGGCAGTACAGTATTGGAGAGCAAGATTTGAAGTCTTACAGCTGAGAAGTACTTTCTAGTTAGGAAGAAAATCATCAGTGAGCAATAACTGTCTAAATAATTTTTTATATAGACTTAAGCCTAATTTCTGGAAAGTGTAATCCCTTGAACTCTTAAAGAAGTATACTGATGACTTTACTCTTTGGTTATAATTTCCTTTTGGGTGTTTAAGATCGTACAGTTGGCCCAAATAAATCAATTTATTTTTACACTTAAGGTCATTTGAGGCTCTCTTCCTCAGGTAACATGGACTTGGGAGGAGCTCCTGTCTCCTTTCTTTTACCAGTTCCATCTATGT